TGGTCCACGACCCACTCGAGCATCAGCCACAACTCAGGTCCGACCTCCAGGAACACCAACGCAAAGACCCGCCGGACGAACAACCACCACTCCCACCCCTAGTCGTGTCGCAGCAGTCGAAGCTTTCCCAGATATGATTGCCGAAGATATCGCTGCGTATGCAGAAGCGGATCACTTCAAGATGGGGTTAGTGGAGGAGGAAGCTGAAGGTGCCGAAAGGTGTGTAGCCCCTTCGTCGACGGCTCCAATCATTTTAGAGCTAATCTGTAATGGAAAAACTGTTCGGGCTCTAATTGATTCAGGCGCTGGGACGAACTTACTATCGAACAACATGGCGCGTGATTTGCGAGTGGTACGAAGACTGTTGGTAGCCCCGGTCGAGGTACGCTTAGCAATTCCCACTGAAGGCAAACCTCTTATCCTACGAGAATTTGCTATAGCTAATCTCAAGTGTGATGATCCCAGTTTACGATTCGGCGCTGTTTTTTTCAAGCTGGCACCTTTAGGAGGAAGCTATGATATCATTCTCGGGTCTCCATTTTTATCTAAATTCAAACTTGATGTCTCCCTTCATCGTTGATGTGTGCTACACGTCCCTAGCGGAAAAATCCTGTACGAGAAAGCAATGAAGTCTGAATTGAATCGCATATTATGTGCCGTTGAAAATCTTGAGAAAATCAGCAAAGCTCAGGACTTGAACAAGCGGGAAATGTCCGTATTGAAAGAATTTGAAGATATATTCCCAGCGGAACTGCCTCCAGTGGAGGAGGGTGATCCGCCGGATGAAACTTTCCCAGAAGGATTACCTGAGGCAAGCAGACGAGTTCGTCATAAGATCATTCTCACGGATCCCAATGTTGTTATCAATGAGAAACAATATGGATACCCTCAGAAACATCGAGAGTCTTGGCGCAAGTTGGTGGACCAACACCTGAAAGCTGGACGTATTAGACGATCTCAGAGCCAGTACGGTTCTCCTTCAATGATCATTCCGAAAAAAGATCCAACGGAATTACCCAGATGGGTGTGTGACTACAGAACTTTGAACAAGTACACTGTCAAAGACCGTGCACCATTACCAAATGTTGACGAATCAGTGAGGCTAGTGGCTACTGGAAAAGTTTGGTCAGTTGTAGATCAGACAAATTCATTTTTTCAAGACAGAATGCGCGAAGAAGATATCCCGCTGACGGCGGTGAAGACTCCTTGGGGGTTGTATGAATGGGTTGTTATGCCCATGGGACTAACAAACGGACCTGCGACACATCAAGCTCGAAATGAAGAGATTTTAGGTGATTTGGTAGGAAAGATATGCGTGGTTTATATTGATGACATTGTAATATTCTCACAAACAGTTGAAGAACATGAGGTACATTTAAGACAGGTACTTGAAAGACTACGTGCGGCAAAGCTTTATTGCTCCATCAAGAAAAGCAAATTATTCAGACGTGAAATCAAATTCTTAGGACACATCATTAGTGAGACAGGAGTTTGTCCAGATGACGAAAAGGTTGAGAAGATCTCCAAGTGGGCCTCTCCAACTAACTCAAAACAATTACTCAAATTCTTAGGCACGGTCCAATGGATGAAAAAATTTATTGACGGACTGTCACATTATGTTGGAACCTTATCTCCTCTGACGAGCACTTCCTTGAAAGGGAAACCTTTTCGATGGGGAGAAGCAGAAGAAGTGGCTTTCAACAACATCAAGCGTCTCATTACAACACTACCAGTACTTCGTAATCTGGACTATGACTCAGACGAACCGCTCTGGCTTTTCACGGATGCTAGTGGTAATGGATTAGGAGCGGCTCTATTTCAAGGAATCAAGTGGGACACAGCCTCACCCATTGCTTACGAGAGCCGGACAATGAATGCGGCTGAGAAGAACTACCCTGTGCACGAACAGGAGCTCCTTGCGGTTGTCAACGCTCTCAACAAGTGGAAGCTCTTACTTTTAGGCATGCGAGTGAATGTTATGTCGGACCATCATTCATTGACAACCTTATTGACACAACGCAATCTCAGCCGACGACAGGCAAGGTGGTTAGAAACCTTATCTCAGTTTGACCTGGACTTTAAATACTTACGAGGTCAGGATAATTCTGTAGCTGATGCACTTTCTTGACGAGATGATGTTGCCTTGTGTGAAGTTAAAGCAGCATTGAGAGAGGAAGAGGTCCAGAAGATTCAGGAGGGTTATGAAGAAGACAAGTTTTGCATCAAACTGAAAAAGGTGGTACCTCTGCGGGAAGATTGCGTCATGAAGGACAATCTTCTATATTTAGATGGGCGATTGGTTATTCCTCGAACTGGAAGTCTTCGACGTGATTTTATCTCCCAGGCCCACTCGGCTTTGGGGCACCTGGGTATTCTGAAGACCATTGCACGCCTACAAAGCACGTTCTTCTGGCCAAGCATGGCAAAAGAGGTCAAGACACAGCTGAAGTCCTGCGACTCGTGCCAACGTATTAAGGCGCGAACCACCGCAACCACAGGAAAGCTTCAAACTTCTGAAGTCCCAAGGAGTCCAATGGAATCAATCGCAATTGATTTTATAGGTCCCTTCCCCAAAGTCTTGGGATACGATATGATACTATCATGTACGTGTAGACTGACGGGATTTGTTCGTCTCATTCCAACCTCACAGCGTGACACTGCTGAAAGATCCGCTACGCGACTTTACACGTCGTGGTCTTCAATCTTTGGATTGCCATCATCCATTATTGGCGATCAGGACAAGGCCTGGACGTCGCGATTCTGGCGACACTTGCACGATTTGCTAGGAGTAAAGGTCAATCTTTCTACGTCTTATCATCCTCAAGCAGACGGCCGAAGTGAACGTACCAATAAAACAGTTGGACAGATTTTGCGACACTACGCAGCTGAGAAACATGGCAAATGGTTCCAGTCCTTACCCGCCGCGGAGTTCGCCATTAACTCGGCCGTCAATGTCTCGACGGGCGTGTCACCTTTACACTTTGTCTATGGCCGCATTCCCCGTCTTTTCCCCATTCAGACACCTTTAGAAGACGAAGCGGACGATGTAAAACACTGGATTGAGAGGCGTCAGGCTGAGTGGGCAGGTTGGAGAGATCGAGTATGGTGTAATCGTGTGGAGCAGGCATCTCAGTACAACCTTCGACGTCGGGAAGGGAAGCCTTTTGTGATTGGAGACAGAGTCATGGTGGACAGTGCAGATCGACAACAAGTCGTAGGCGGGAAGTCAAGAGGGACTGATAAACTACGCGCGCGCTACGACGGTCCCTACGAAGTCTTAGAAGTGTTGAACTCAGGACGTGACTTCCGATTACGTTTAAAACCTAATGATCTCACATACCCGGTCTTTCATATTTCAAAGCTCAAAGCCTACCACAGCGACGAAGCGGACAACACGAACATTGCAACCATCAAGCTGGTCTTGTCACAACCGGAACCAACCCCAGGAGAGTCTCGAGAGGAGCCCATGGGGCAAGCTAGGAATTGTGACAAGGGGGTGTGTATCAACTCAGATACGCTAGCACCCCCGCAATGTGAGTCTTTTATTTCTCATGCACCAAGTAGTAAAGAAAGCATTGGCAAGCGATTTCATCTCCTAAATAGCAGTACCTTAATGCACGGCGCCCACGGAGGACACGAAGGTTCGAGAATAACAGAATCACTTGCAGCCAGAGTATTGGCTTTGTCAACTCCGAAATCAACCCCTTTAGGTCCGGGAATTGGAGCCACTGGGGCATGCTAGGAAAATTGACAAGGGGGTGTGCATCAAATAGATGCGCTAGCACCCCCGCAATGTGAGTTCAATAATCTTTTCATTACCTATACCTTGCGAAACAGCTAGCAAGCAAAAACATCTTCTACATTACAGATAATCATTCACGACGAGGGGTTGGGACGTGACGCAAATTTACTAATCCTCAAGCTACGAACATCAATTTTCTTTACATTACTTTAAGATTCAAGATACTCAAGACTTACAAATACAAATTAATTCATGTTTCATCAAAACTCACAACATCAAGATGGTTTTTTTCTCTTTTTCTCTTTTTTTTCTTTTCTTCTTTCCTTTCAAAAATTCAAGACTTCACGATTTTATTATGATTTTAGTTTTTTTCTCTCTTCTTTCAGTTTCTCAACTTTGGATTTTTTTGCTTAAGCTTTCTCAGGGACGAGTTATGGTCACATTTATTGGGGCGAGTTATGCCATTTGCGTTTTTTTTCTCTTTCTTTATTTCAGCATTTTTTTAAGACTGGTTGGACAAAGATTTTTAGGAAGGAAGGGTGTAAGGGTTACACAAGTACATTCATGGGTTCTGGATCATGGGATTAGTTAGGTGGTGTTATATCTTCTTGCTCCACGCCCGGTTCCGGAAAGTCCTCACTCCTCTGAGAGCCTATTACTGGACTTTCTGGAACCAGGTGAGCTTAGTTCTTTTTAATTGCTTTTATCTTGTTTTATTCTCATTAGTTCTCTTTACTGACTCCTCTGAGAGCCTATTACTGGACTTTCTGGAACCAGCTCGTAATTCATATAACGAAGTTCCAAGTTAATTGTCCGAGTGTGCTCTCTCGAGAAGTCGTGCCGGATTAAACATCCGGACGCTAGTGAAGGTTCTCACGAGAACCTTACATAACCCCGACCGGCGACCACGGCTATGCATAACCGAGGGGCATACAGCCATATGCCCCAAAGGGTCTCTTCGCCCAAACTCTACCAACCTTTCATTCTCGATATTGATATCCTCTTCGCTATCTAACCTTCGACGACCGGACAAATCCACCACACCGGCAAACTCCACCTCTCACTGACGCCATGGGTAAGGGCTCAACGAACGTCACGCGCCAGCCTCATACCGTCGTTTGTCATCTCATAACCAACCTACGAGCTCATCTATAAGAACCCATCTCGCGATTCTAAGAACTCATCTCACGATTTGATAGATCCACCTCCCTTCCTTCGTACCCAACAGTCACTATCAGAAGTCTTGACATCTCTCGCAATGACGCAGGTGATCCTGCGTCAACCTCCTGGCCCTTTCGAAGGAACACCCCAACCGATTCGACCTTTCAACATGGCCTGCTTCATCTTATCGACTGCTGCTGTTGCTCTTCCTTCTTCCCCATTGTACGAGCACGATTCCAAGGTACCCATATCGGTCTACAACTTTCATCAAATTCTTCTCTTGTTTCGATCTTATCAGTTCAATCAAATCAAATACTTCAATCGAATTTATCCATTAGATCAATTCATTTCCTTTTTCTATCTTTATCACTACCTCACCTATCCCATCACAACTATCTCATCTCCTGTAGCCACCATGTCCGAAAACCAATCGGTCCGATCGGTTTCTCCTGGTCTTGAAGAGTTGTTGCCTCACACAGCACAGACGGATGCTCAGTCGGTCTCCCATGTTTCCGAAACTCCTCAACCTACACCTACCAAGTTGAAGCGACGCGCCCCGAAGAAAACGGGCAAGAAGTTCAAGTTGCCCGTTCCAGCCACGGGTGAACTCAAGACATTCATCGATCATGGCACGACTCGGGATCCTCAAGGCTATCCACTGTATCCAAATGGCGACACAGTTTTTGTTCGAGAACCTCATGAGGATATCACCAACTTCGGTCACGTTGCCTATACACACACTCAAAAGACGAAAGGTTCAAAAGATGGACCTTGGAAGACCGTATGGTACGCTTGCCTTGGCGTCCTCCGTTGCGACGACGACTTTTGCGCGTACGCTGCTCCTCCACCCACCGCCGAAGGCAAAGCAGCCGAATACATCAAGGAGTAAGTACTTCCTCATCTCAATGTGAGCCAGAAATCTAACTGACATTGTATCCATTTCTCGCCTTCATAGGAATCCTGTATGTCCAGCGGTCGAGTGCAGCGGCACTCATATATGGACCCAATGCCCCGGCACGATCTGCCGAATCGACATCCAGAAAGACACTGGGTGGGGCGTTCTTCGGCACTCTGGATTCCATGCTCACCCTTGGCCAGCCTCGAAAGAGGCTGACCCTTTGGCGATGCTCGATCTGACGGAGGAGGTCATCAAGAACCCGAAGGCTGGACCGTTGGTTCTCAAAGTAAGTGAATCACTTACTTGGTCGCAGTCTATCCCCTGAAGGACCATCACGCTGACTTGGTGTCGTTCTAGGTTGGCCAGGCTGGCGCGGGTCAGACCGTAACCGCGCCGGTTGTGGATATCCATCCCGCCTTCGCTAATGGTGGTCGTTTGGCATACTTAAGACGCAAGGTTTTGGTTGAGAAAGGCCTCATCCCGGAAAAAGAAAGCAAAGGTGGTGGAGATCGTCTGATCATGGACCTTATGCATTGGGGAAAGTAAGTGTTCCCCCTACTGTCTCAATCGAAACGGACTAACGACGACTGTCTATTGGACAGTCACGGTCTCCGCCTGATCTCGACCTCGCTTCTGGGAAGTAATGTCCACATTACTTTCCAGACCAAGTGGATGGCGGAACAGTTAGTTAGACGAGATGCCCTTGGTAAGGTTTACGCAGGCGGCCTGCTTTCGGATGTCACCTACCGATTCTTCCACCATGGATACCTCCTCACTACTTCGATGTACAGTGAGATCCTACACCGTTGGATCCCTGTCCAACTTACTTGGATGTGGGGGCTTGAAGAGGCTCATTATCGAGCTCACTTCACAACCCTCCTCTCCCAAATCAACGCCGCCGACTTGACTTTCCACGAAAGCGACCTTCTTGTCCAACAGGTGGTCGATTTCTCGGCCGCGCAGAAGAAAGGCTTCGTCACGGCTTACATGGATGTCTTCAAAGAACACGACCCCGCCAAAGCCCTGAGCAAACTCAAAGGCTGCCATGAACACTACCGTCAGTCAATCACACGGATCAAGAAGAACAGGAACGTGGTCGCATCGAGCCGATTGGTAAGTATGGTTTCACTTGGCAACTATCCTCGACAAACCTTCTAACTGATCATCACCACGTCGCTCGTGAAATTTTGATCAGGCCGAGTTCGAGAAACTCGCTTTGGACCTTCTCGAGCCAATCAAACCTGGAGACCCCTCTCTCACCGATAAATTCGCGCAGATTGCACGACTGTTCCCGAAAGCCAAAGCTTGGATTGATTGGTGGAACACAGCTGATATACACAGCATGTTGTTCTGTGCTTGACCTCGGCTACCCATGGATGATCCTCCTCTCCCTGATGGTGAGGATTAACACGACTATCCGGACACCACGAATGGTCAAGAGTCGATGCATCGACAGTATTACATTCTAATGTGAGTCCTCTTTCCCTGGATGAAGGTACAGTGAATAGATGCTGACTGATGGTGTTGTATGATGGTACAGTTCTGGTCACTGTACCATGATCCAGGGATTCATCCAGTTGTTGCTATTCGCCGAATCCCTCAAGAGAGATTTCAACAATGTGCTTCGTGGCATTTCGGTCAAGTACGGTAACAGTTGGGAGTCCGTAGTGGAAACGATGGGTTGGTCGAAGGAACGGACTCGACGCCGCCCTGACGCCAACGACGGCCGTCCTCCTGACACCACGGACGCGTTACTTCGACCTAAGAAGCTCGGCCGGCCAACTGGGTCAACTAACGTTAACCGGGATCCTCATTCTTCTTATCAGTCTTACTCCGCGAGCACCGAGCCAGGTAAGCTCAATCGCTGTTGGGAGACTTCGGTTTTGGAGGCCTTGTATCCCACGTTTTCACCTCTGTGGATTGTTGGCTCGAAGGGCAAGGGGAAGGACATAGCATCCAAGTTGATACGACATTATTCATCAAGGCTTTCCGCCGAATTGCACCGTTCCGGGCACATCAAATCGGTCTTAACTCGTGGTCTCAAATCTGTTCAAACTGCGGTTCAAAAGCTTTCACCCGACTCTTTCGTCACGGACTCCTTCTGCTCTGCCGACTTATTCATGGAGTATCTACTTATATACAAACGCAATGTACCTACGTCCACGGGCCGACAATTTGCTTACACACTCACTCGCGACTACCAATGCACTCAAATCGCCTCGCATGAAGAGACCAAATCTTCCGTTAGAGCGACTGTGATTATAACTAACAATCTTTTTCACGACGCCAACCTCCGATATTCCGATGTGGGCAAGCTGATCAACCTCTGGAGCACCGAAGGCCTCTTTTCCGAGAACCTTCGCTGCTGCACTACCTGTCGCAACGATCAAACTCTAGATTTGACCCATCCTTCACCTGACGAATTGACCTTTGAAAAAGAAGGCAACGATGTTCCTCGCTTGTACAAAAGATGCCTCTTGGATTTCACGGGGAAGCCCATGAATGTGTACTTTCATTTGCGAGGTGTAGCCGGCCTTACCGAAGATGATTGTGCCAGCTTCATGGGTGATATGGATTGGCCTCAAGTCTTGGTTCTCAATGGTGTTGAATATGAGATCGTCTCAAGGGGGTTCTGGGGCTTTCATCATTACTGGTCCAAAGTGGTGAGATACGTGGATGGGGTCAGGGGAGTTTGGTTTTTCGACGATCGCAAAGACAACGGCCGCGCTCAGCTTCTCGGTCGTGATCTTTCGTTGATAGCCGGTCCTCAACCTTCCACCAGTTGGCTCATATATTCTCGCAAGGCTACCTCGAGCGAACAAAGGGTCATCGATGTTGGCATAGCAAAGATCACGTCGAAGAACCCTGATGCTCCGGGGGATTTGCCGTTTGTTTCGGGGCTGGACTTGGAAGACGTGGAGGACATCGAGGAAGACTTGCCTGACTTGCCCGTGATCGATCGGCCCTCTGCTACGTTTTCAAGTGGCCAGGTCATGAGTCAGCTCTCAGTTAACAGCGCCAAACGGGCCTTTACAGCACCTGGTAAGTGCTCTTTGCCTTGCCTGTTTTTCACAATCTGAGAGGCTTGCTGACCTTGTATGTAACAGCTTCTCCAGCTGTCAATGAGTTGGAAGATGTGGACCCTCCAACCGTAGAAGACTCTGTGGTGCCTTTCGGTTCTCGTCAATCTTCGCAAAGCGATAAGGCCAAACACGCATTCATTAAAAGTGATAAGGGTGAGTTCACCTTGTGACTCAATTTGGGTTTCTTAACATTGACATCTTTCTTTTTAGGTACGTCCTCTTCAGCTCCTCCAGCTGTCGTGAGAAGGGAGGATGATGAGGAGGATGGTGTCCCACCTGCTGCCACCTTACCGGAAAAGCCGTTACCTGCCACCCTACCGGAGGAAAAGGCGTTACCCGACGTCAAGGGACCCTTGAGTGTCCGCCTGCGTGTGAACAAGCGCCCGAAGTCGCCCTCCCCTCAGAAGACTTCAAAGGCCAAGAAGGGTGTTGCCAAGGTAAAGCCAGACAAGGCGCGGTTGGCAGTGGTCAAAGAGGCAGTGGTTGAGAAGAAGGCAAAGGTTATGCCTAAGCCTAAAGGGAAGAAGAAATCCTGAACCAGAATTGTGTATCTTAAATATGTATCTTACTATCTATACACGAAGGTCTTTTAAACAATTTTTTTATACAAATTCTACTGATGATCATGATTGTGATAAGGTAAGCACAGGAGTCGTCTTTTCCTTTTTCGTCTTGAAGTCTCAGTTTTGTGTGTTGTGTTTTATGGCGGCCTTATGTAATGCACATTGGCCAATTAAGTGGTGGATATTGAATTTATGCCCAGCATAAACTTACACTTGAGTGAGAGAGTGAGACGCGTGTAAGATTATAAGAGTAAGACATTCACAAAATGGTTTACTCTGATGATTTTTTTTTTTCTCTAAGTAAAATTTATTTAACTCCACTTGAGGTGTAAAATTGCAAGTCCAGGGGGGAATAATGACTTTTTGCACTACAGGGGTTTTGCCTCCTTAATGTGTGTAATGTCTTGGAGTGCAAAAATAGGGATCAGGCGACTAAAGTTTAATTTTACACCCTAGTTTTTTTGCTCACTATGAGGTGTGTAAAATATCGCGTGTAAAATTAAACTTTGGGGTCGGTACTGTAGATTTTTACACTCCAGGTTTTGCACGTGACTAATTTACATACTACAATTTGGGCCCGAAGGAGTGTAAAATTGTATTTCACCCCTCATTACATACACTTTTACACACAACTGCTTTTACACTCAATAAGGAGTCGAATTTGTTGTGTGCAAAAATCTCCTAACCCCTATTTTATCTACTCATGCAGTCCAGAGTCAAAAAATGGATGCACTAGCTCAATGACTGAGCCCTAACTTAGTTCACCATGCCATATTATTTGCCTCAAGAGTGTGCAGATCCACATGTTCTTAATACAAGCAATGTTGTAGCTTCACAAGAACTCCTCAAAAAATGCAAGTTTTGTGCTTCTCCCTGCTTCATCTCATCCCTGTTCCTATTAATTTTTTTGCAAACTAATAAATCAAATTACAAGGAATGTTTTTGTCAAGTCTATACTTATTCAAAGGACTATTGATATACAGCCATTCCAATATTTCTTGTCGCTCACATTTTTGAAAAGAAAAAGTTTATGAGCTCAAAACCTAAGTTTTAACTAGTTAAAACCTGAAAAATGGCTGTGTTTCCTTGAATTACAGCCAATTTCAAAGTTTTATTGAGTAAAAACTTGGGTTTCACCAGGTTTCACTTTTTCTTTTTCAAAACGGAGCGACAAGAAATATTGGAATGGCTGTAGATGAATTTCAGAATTGAATTTTAGTAAGGATTGCACTATTTGGCGCCCGGTTTTGAAAATACCCAACGCCCGCTTTTTCCGGTACTTTCCCGTGCCTCCAAGCCAAATTTGGGAAACCGGGCAGTTAGACTGCCAAAACCGGGCATTAGTCCTGAAACCGGTTATTTCCTGCAGCATATCGTTGATGTCTCTTTCAATCCCCTCCTATGCTCAGCATTACACCCTACTCAAAGACAAGGTATATTCAGACAGCCATCCTTCAGACTACTCAAACTCTTCATCATGAGCCAACCAAAGATGGTAAGTCCCGTTCATTGATTGTCTCTCTTTCCTCTTGATTCCATTCTTCCCTCTTTCGAAAACAACCAGTGCTGAGCTGACTGTCCTCTTCATCTTCATCTCTCTCCATCTATGTAGCCGTTCTTTACCGCCACACTCCTTTGTCTTACCCCTGACAATCGACTCTTTGTGCCAAGACTTACTCATCATCATCAACACGATTGGAGCCAATTGTAAAAACAATTGCACACTTTGTTCTTGCAATTCTGCAACCAAGATCACCATCACCCCACCTCAACCACCTCCTTTTCCACCCTACCCCTACCCCTAACCTCCTACATGTACATATCTGTTCACCCTGACTACTGTTGTGTAGATAGACAAAAAGATGCTTATACAAATCAACAAAAGAATACAAGAAAGATGACCAGTTTTTTATTTGATTGACTGGTTGGATTGGAACACATGAATAAACCCCTAGCAGTGTTTAGACTATTACTTTTCTTGAATCAAATTGGTTCTCAAGAAGTAAGAAAATAAGAATAGTAGTAAGTTGACTGATAGTTGAAGTCCGTTCTGAGTTGATCAAATCGATGGGCAGAATTTGAAGTTACAAACCGGTTTGAAACCGGGCTACAAAAAAATTGAAATTTCGAAAACCGGGCGGTGTGTTTTCAAAACCGGGCGCCAAATAGTGCGATCCTCTTAGTAATGGCTCAGACTTATTGCCTTCCAATTTCAAGATCAATAAACAACACCCCCCTATAAAACTTCAGTTGCTGGCAGGATCTCTTATGGATTGGCATTCAAATTTATATCTTTCTCATTTACATATTTCAACTTATTAAATGTAAAGAGGTGTTGTTCTTGACTTTTACCTTCTTTGCAATATAAAGTGTGTTTGATTACATCCCAGGATTCTTGAGTAAGCCAATTGACACTGTAGTGCTTGCAAGGTTTTTGAACCATTTTGATTGGAAATAATTGCTGAGATTGATAAACACTTACTTCCCAGCAATTGAATTGGTGAATTCCCTTGATACAATTTATCCTGTACTTTGTTGCAACTTACTTGGATGTCACAGGTTAGGTTCCTTTAAGCCCCGTAGCGCTCCTCTAGATGAATAATTTGGTTGAATCTAATCAACATATGTAGATGAGTATAGGTGCTGGGGTATTTATTGTAGATTTGCTCGAGGTTGCTCGTCAATCTCTTTGAAGATTTCAGCCCCATATATTTATGCTTGTAATTGGTTTAGCCGGGTACATAGTTGATCTGCGTTAAATTGAGACAAGAAACTCATCCTATAAGTTATTTATGATTTGGTAGGAAGAGGTCCTCAGATATCAGCCTATGGTGGGTAGTGCCTAAACGCGTGAAATCGGGTATTTTGAGAAAAAAGCTCATGAAGCCCACAAAATTGATCCAATTTTGAAGCCGAGGGCAGATTTGGAATCCTCACATTGATAGGAATCCAAAATTGTATTGAACATGTTGTTTTTAACAATTTTTACAGTAGAGAAAGTTCTTTTCATCCAATGGAGTTTTTGATAAATCAGCTTTTTGGCCGTACTAACCGGCCCGACATTACACACTTTTAGACACTACCCACTATAGATCTTTTAAAACCGACATTTTTGCTCCTATACATAAGATTCCAATAGATCAAGGTTTCTCATTGATTCAGACTGATCCCTGGCCTGAAAAGTGTACGTTGGTAGTTGTTTGATGACCAATTTTTTGAGAGGATGGTACCAGGCATTGATAATTTCTGGGATTTAAGAGAAGAGGCCTCTCCCACCAATACAGATTTCTTAGAAGCTTATTTTCTTCATGAAGGTCTTATGAGGTGAGTTTGAAACCACTTTCTTAGATATGATGTGGTCCAACATGAGCTGAGGATTGTTTTGGCAAATCTGTCTTGTGAAGAGCAGTAAGGGCCAGGCGTGGGTTCAAGGATTTCCAGAAATATCATCTATGGACAAAGGATTTCTACTGAATATCTGATGACGACATAGCAAATGATGAGATGTGTCAATCCAGTGATTAGCGGTTGTCTCAGCACCTTTGCTCAAGATGGATATTCATTTTAAAAGCATTTTGCCCATTCTTGCCAAGACAACATCAGTGAGGTTTTGATTTGAAGTAGAATCACGATCGTTCGTTTTGTTCAAAACATGTACTACTCGATCATCCGGAATATCAGGATGCTAGGTTCTCCCCTCACTGGTCGATGTAGGACCGTCTTAGTCAATGAATTATTACACTTTTGTTTCTTTGTTCATCTAGTTGTCTATTCGACGTCACAAAAAGGAAATTAGTGACACTGAAAAGTCTTTGATCTCGCTATCATCTGTTTTAGCTGGATTTTCCTATTATGACTTGCGGATGCCTGACACATTGGTAGAATTACATTATATTTACCTATTAGGACATAATTTGCAGGATAAGCTTTAGATATGGTTTGATCCTCAAGTGAAGACAATGATAGTAAAAACTCCACCTACATACAAATCCGTCGATGTCATCAACCCGCTACCCCAATGAAAACTGCAAAAATAGACTTGTTTGTGAGAAATCGCTAGACCAAGATGATTTAGTCCATTTCCAATCAAGGTCCTCCTATCAGGCTTCACATTAGCGATAAGATGGCGGCCGAGTGGAGGGATAATTATAACGAGGATCTGTTGGAGGAGGCGGTGAGACCGGTAATGATTGAGGGCGAGCGGGTGGTAGGGAGATGGCTTCCTCTACGATGTTTGGTGGTTGATTATCCGACACCCAATTAGATCTATGAGCGGCTGTAGTGGAAGTCGAGTCGCCCCATGGTTCACTCGGATATGGTCTCCAGACTTCTGTCACTCCCGATTGATTGGGATGATGGCGGGGATGATTATTTTGGGAAAGCGGTGAGGGTGCCCAAGCTTGTCTGGATGAGCTTGGAGGCAACACCGCACGAGAAATACCTCCAGCGCCCACACTCAGGTGTCTCGGATGCCGAGCTGGTGGTGAAGCTGTACGCGATGGAGATAACGGCTTGTGATGATGTACAGTCAGATGAGGAGAGGTTGGCGAATTAAACTCAGATCTATACTCAGTCAATTCACGTGCTGAGGATGAGGAGAGCCCTTGTTGGTTATGGGGTAAAGTGAGATGAGGTGGCAAGGTTGCGCGAGCTGCCGCGCCACGGCGGTGATACGATTCTTGGAGAGGAATAAAAGAGTGGTTTGGTTGTGAACGAGACGGGTGTTGGGATCTGCCTGGGTTGATAACAGGAGAGGCAGATGCTGGCTGTAGGGAGATACTGGGGATGCTGGGAGGACTAGGTGGATCTGCGAACCTTTCGTCATTAGTTGCTGATTCAGGCTGTGAATCAACAGACATATGGTTATGATGAGGTTGAGCCGGTGGGAGTGAACGCGGGGCAGGAGTCCATGTATCACTTTGATGTCGTCCAAGACGAAAACCAGGTGTCACATACGGCTCGGTGGGTGAAGCCATGACACGTTTGAGATGGCCTGAAGGCCTGGGCGACGAGGTTTCACGCCCTAGTCCTACTGAACACGACGATTGGGGAACTGGCATATCGTCCGGAAGTTCAGCCTCAAACCATGTGCTCGCATCTAGGTCTGACAAGTTCGTGGGCTCGACCGGTTCGTCGTTTAGGAGGTTTCGTATCTGCATGCATGATTGACTACTGACAGGTGGTTGAGGGGTAGAAAGGGTAGCATCGATAGGTCGGCCTTCATCAACTGCCGAGACAGTCTGCAAAGTTGCTGCGGAAAGTTTTTGCTCATTGTTCTGATAATAATTGCGACACTAGGTGTACGACATGATGAAAAATGCGCTTAGAAGACAATAAATTCATGGATAAGGGCGCTGGACGAGTTGACGTTGAAGGGCTCACCTGCATTTCTGTTTTGGTCATAACTTGACGAGAAATCTCACTGAAGTCGGGACCAAACTCTTTGATTAATTTCTGAAAGAGCAGTCGTTCATCTTTGGTCCAATATGATGATGTACCTGTCCTACGCTGCCTACTATCTGATTCATTAACGCCGGCTACGCTTGAAATCAAATTGGAGCTATCAAGATTGTGATTCAATGGAACTTGATTCGAAGAGATTTGTTCAGATCTACTGCCTTCGTACTCTGTCTCGAAAGAAGACTCGCCAAAATCTTCAAGTTTGCGTTTTCTCGAAACCTTGACCACTGTTTGATCAATACCCTGATTCACCGAGGTTATATGGTGAGATGCCAAAGATGGTGATGCTGCGATAACAGAATCAGCTAGTTCGACTGAAGGAACAGCTTCAGTGACATTCCCATCAGCTTCGTGATCTGAGATGCTCGACGGTAGAACGGGATTGGGGTAGAGCGAATGCTTGTACGAGTTGTCCGGTAGAGGCGATGGCAGTGGGACCAAAACGGGTTGAGCATGATCAGAAGGAAAGGGATTTGTCATAGAGCGAACAGCCTCAGAGGGCGAGGGGGGACGAGATATCAGGTCTCGATTGGTAGGGAGGAAAGAGTCAGAGAGATGTTCAGATTGATTGAAAGTTGCTTGTTCTTCTACTGATGTTCGTGTTGTATTACCGATTTCGTTTTTGATGATATTGGGTGTTGGGGTAGGGATAGAAGAAAGAACTTCGTGTCCATAGACCGAAGGATCAGTGGGTACTGGACGGGTCGTATCTTCATCGGCTTCAGTTTCAGTTTGAGGTACAGCTGTTGCAGGCGTGTCATTTCCTTTGTGTTTGCCTAATTGGATAGAGTTGACATTTGAAGGTAAGTTGCTGGCACGTGGACCAGGCTTCCTAGCTCGTTTTCCTTTCATCTCCCGTGGCTTGCCTTCATTACCCATCGTAGTATGTGCGTGTAAATTTCGGTATCGGTTCGATCTTTTGGTTCGATAATAATACAGTACACATTCTGCTCGAGTCTTGGTTTGAATTTGAGATGCAATCCAGCCAAATTGTTTGGGTTGCAAGCCATAGCTAGTCTCAAAGAGTTTCTGCTCTTCTTGTGACCATCCAGACTCAGCCGATTCCGAAATTTCATTGCTTGGGTTAGCACCACCTGCAGTCAGGGGTTGAAGGTGATAAAATGCTATAGGATCTTTGATCAATGTAACGTCGTGATCATCATGTAGGAATACACTTCGCTGTTGTTGGGTGAGTGCCATATCCGGAATGAGAGCCGTTGTCTTCATGGCTCGTATGTTAGGGTCCTTCTGATCGGCAGTCCCGAGATGCGCGAGTACGATATCGAATTGAGCATCAGTGACGGCATCACCGACTCCAAAGGTAGTGAAGTTCGCTGTTCGACGGGTGGTGCGACTAGGAGCAGTAATCGGAGCGCTAGAACCAGTAGCGATCGAGCCAGTAGCATTGGTGAAGTAACCTTCGACATTATTGGAGCCAGACGTGATCGGGGCGGAGATAGTGACACTACTAGCGGGGGCCGGAAAGGTAGTATTCGGGATGGGACCTTCTGCCGAAGCTGTAAGAGGAGTATTGAGAGGAGGTCTTTTTTTCTGATTAAGGCGTGATCTAAGACGATCAATGGCTTCACAGTGTTCAATCCATTCAAGGTTGTGAGTACGGTAGAGATCTTTGAGATTCTTGACGAGATTCTTGATTTCGATTTCATTTTGATTGTTAATTTGATGGTGATCATCGCTTGAAGTCATTGAACCAGTGATGGATATCTGTCTGGTTGGTGAGTTCATTGCAGTTGAAGTTCATTTGATTTGGAAATCTGTTGACTGTTGACTCCGGTCAGTGTCTTGGAGATCCAGAGATCAAGTGGTGGGTGCGGCGCAATGTCAGCGCCGTTGAAAGCGCCCGGTCGCAACCTATGACTCTCTTTCCAAATCGGGGCCCGGGGTAGGCGCGCCCCATACAGCCAGGGATGCAGCACTGATGTAATGACCAGACTTGTATTTAAGAATTCTTATAACATGAAATTAACACAACGGGAATCACACCGCGGGAATAATTTAGTTCAAAACCCGATTGAGGAAAGTTGCGGTGTCCGAGTCCGCAACTTCCTTCAA